GAGGAGGAAGAAGAGGAAGAGGAGGGTGAGGAAGAACAGACCTTGATAACTACAAGGGAAGGATTTGAGCTTATTCAAAAGCTGGAGACATTTTGTGTTTCACAAGGTGACCAGGGTGGATTAGTACCACAGCTGAGGAAGTTGAGAGGGGCATTATTCAAGGAGATGCATGGAAAGCTGACCCAAAAGCCACTGACAGCATTTTGGGGAAATGACGACATTGTCACATAAAGTCACATGTCACATCACATGCTATTTTGGTTCTGCATAAATCTATAAATGCATACAGTTTTGGTGTCTCCTGACCATATGCATTGTGAGATAGTCAACTGTATATTATTTCTTGCTCTTATTAGTCTGAGTGTTGCAGCTTCAGTAGCAACTTAATCGGTGGTGATATCACCACATCCAGACCCATCATGGATATAAGAGATGAGGAGAAGAAACTAGTGCATTTTAAAACAATTTATTGAAAGAGTAAGGAATCAGTGGAGGAATCGGCTAGGCACCGTCTTCGTCAGTTCATTCCCTGATTCGCATATGACCTTCAAACGGGTGCAATGGCTGCCTGGGTTCAATTCCCCATTTTCGAATTATTCTCGATGAACCAGTCCACTTTTATGGCACAGTTTGGTTTTGCCTTTCTCTTCACGGGGCCTAAACAATGAATGCTTGGATATAAGTAGTGTAATGGATTATGGCGTAGCTTAGGGTTTGATTCTCTCTATCCGAATGGCGAATCACTAACATTGTGTTTCCTTTTTCACATTCACTTTTCAGTTAAGATGATCACATTCTCTTCTTTTTTGGTAATGCACATGAAGATCTGAGTATGGTGGTTATTATGGTGGGCTCACACGAGCCATGACAATAGTGTGGCATTTTTCCTAATGATAATATACTAAGATTTAAAAATAAGCAACTGGCAATTGTTGTATATCATAACAAAGCAAGTCATCCAGCTCGATGGCTCATTTCAAATTGTGTGGCATTGAGTCTTTTTCTTTGAACGCAAAAATGTGTATGCTCCTATTGAAACCCTTCTTGGAGTCTCATCAGATGTCACTTGACGTTTTTTCCCCACTTGAAAAATTCACCACTTATAACTTTTTATGCTACAATTAAAACAAAGCCTGGAGGTGGTACTTCAAGAGATCATTTAAATTTTTTGGGCCTATAAGAAAACATGCATATTTGAAAAGTCCAAAAAGTTCACAGCCAAATCCCTACTCATCAATCCTCTCTTCCAAACTTTCCTCGCTCTCATTAGTGTGAAAATTTATACCCTGTTATGTCCACACAGAGGTAAGCATTACAAGCTAATGAAATAATGAAAAAAAATAGTAAAAAAAAGAACAAGGAAAGAAAATTCATGCGAGACGGCTTGGGGGCCATGGGGACTGCTGCTGCCTGGTCCAGAGTATTCACAAAACACTGGCACATATGAACAGAGCATCTAAAGCATTTTTGGGATGTGGAATGAACACTGTGGCACTGCGCATTGGCCTTGATACAGGCACCACAAGGCTGACACCTCTAAACGAAGTATCTTGGTTAGAAAAATTCGGAAGTAAAACAGAAGACTTAGGAAAGGGACGATCTTTTCCAACAAATCCCTTCTAAAGAAAGCACCCTTGTAGCCAACGTAGTCACCGAAATCTTGGTCGGGAACCAGCAGACCCATTGGAGTCAGGTCTGGGTTCGCAACACAGGGAACCAATCCCCCCGCACTTCCGACGCGGAGCAGCAGCGACCTCAGAGACTTTTTTCGAGGAACGGTCCATACGAATAAGTGATTCAGGTAAAAATCTGAAGTCAAAAATCTGTTTTCTGAAATAAAAAGTATGCAAACTTATGACATGGGACAACTCGACGTTTATTCTTCTGGAGCCCAGTAGACGGTTCCTCCAATCGGGTACGTTTAGGAAAGGGTGCTATAAGAGTCCACAGTCTCCCCATGGGACTACGGGAAGCCTCGGATTGGCTAATGGAAGCCTCTGGAGATCCGCATGCGCATAAACCAGGATTCAACGAACGTATTGCTCTTGTCCAAATGCTGGTACTTTGCAAGAGCCTGTCTATATCTACTCGAGATTCTTCATTACTTCCGTGTCCCCTCCAACAGCGCTTGCCGCTCAAGAGAGCGTCATATCCACTGCGCTCTCCACAGAAGCTATCACTGGCCTAGTCTTCTTTATCGTACTCGTCGCCCTGCTCTTTCTCCTCAACCTGATAATAATGTTGCCGGGATTCAAGTTCAGAAAACCGTCATGGACCGACATCCTCGACAACATTCAACCATAGGCAATCTTCTTCGTTTGTCTTATCATCAATGATGCAGTGTATCAGCGCGTGGCGGGAACGTCGGTATTGGAAGGAGGATCGTCGAGAATCGGGGCGCTGATCGTACAGTTGGGGGTGTATATGAAATACACTGGAGTTCCTCTCGCTGGATCCGTTGCGTTTACGGCTTATTCTCTCGTGAGGGAGGAGGCCAAAGATATGGAGAGAGAACCAGTGAAGACGTGAGGTAGCCTTCCCGCATTGGCTCTCCAAAATGATATGCTGACCTAATTTTCCTTGCAGGTTACAGAAGCACAGATTTAGTGAATCATGGCGCCGATTCGTTGTCGCAATCATCCTCTTTAGATCGGGCTGTTTGCAGAAGTCTACATATACGATTTTTGATAACATCCGCCTCTAGCATACCCTTCTCCTTCGAGAGCAGCAGCTTCCATTCCACCCACTCTCCAGAGTACGGCACTCCATGGACCGATATGATGGTATCGTGAGAAGGTGGCGCTGATTTCGGGGGCGATGGTGATATCCTTTCATAGTTAGCACTGTTGAATTTTGGGAGGAGAACGCTACAGAATGTGAACGAGCTGGCGCTTTCTCTTAGAGAAGGTGTACCGCATTGGAGATCTACAGGTTCGTTCACACGCGCGAGCACTTGAAGTATCGCCTTTCGGCTTCTTTGATCTATCATAGGTACCGCATTTTGCATACATCGTACGATACCGAGGCGAACAGAATCAGCCGAGGAATTAATAGCTAACGCGGAAGAGTACTATTGTTGAACCGTGGAGTGGCTCTCCATCACTAGGCAGGTAAGTTTAAAGTTCGTCCATCGTAAGATTGATTCCCGTCTTCGGTGATGTCGTGCCAACGGGTCCACCATCCAATGGATACGCATTCAGCGGACTCCACAAGAACGAGGAAAGCTGTTCTGGACTGGCACAGCTCGGCAGATCAGAGTCGGCTGCCTGGGCTTGGCAGTGGAATGTGCAGGCCGTTACCCCCATTTGAATGTCGCCGTAATGATCATGCGGCTGTGCATCTGGATTTCTTTTTCGTCCCTGGCACGCGTGCCTAACAACTTATAAACGCTGTCTGCATGAGGCGCGGTGGACCTCCCCCCAATATCAACTCTCTTTTACACGCTTTCTAGTACCTCCAAATGACTCGTTGGTCGCAATACCATGAGGTGCGCACGGTTCACTCGCAGCCCTAGGAGAAGCGTTGCTGAAACATTTCGTCCAGGATTCATGTCGCCTTCCCGAAGGCTTTCGAAGAATAGGATATGATGCAGACACCTCGCGTTATACCTTTTCCGATAAGAGAGGGAGGCTTTACCATGGTGCGCCGGGCGCGGAGTACGGGACCCTGACACCCGTCAATTCGGCGTCGACTAGCAGACCGGAAGCTTTCTATTCAGGTTCGTTCCCCCCCTCCCCCTCTTCCCCAATTTCTTCTCTTTTTAATCCGACATCCCCCAGACAGAAGAAAACCAAAGGTCTCCGTCAGTCCCCCTGCGAAGACGTTCCATGACTTTCTACCATCCTCCGCTATAACATCTCCCTCTAATCCACTCCCACCATCGCCTACTGCCCGGTTCGTCAACGCCGCGAGGCAAACTGCGCTTCCCAAAATGCAGGGTGTCGTTCAGAGCCTGCGTCGATCCACCATCAAATCTGGCCGGTACGACGAGGAGAAGCGCGGACTGCTGCGGATCCCTTCGACGTCGACTACAGCCTCCGCCAGCTCTGTTGGCCGGTCGAAGAGTTCTGCTACCCCGCGTTCGAGCTCGCAGTACAAGTATAACAAGACACATTCGAGGAAGGCTAGCGCCTGACCTCGTTAGTCATTTTTTCTCTACTCCACTTTCGCACTTCGACGCTTTGCTACTGTGTACATGTACTTACGTGGATTCTGTATGTATGTATGTAATTGTCCTCATCCGATGTGCGATAACCTTGTACGACATCGCAACCGAAACCAGAGCTGCGGATCCTCGTGGCTGAAGCATGCCAGATGACGTGCCGTCCCGCCTGAAGAAGCGGAAGGAAACTCTGATAAGGCTCGCCTAGTGCTTCGAATTCTTGTAGCTTTGAGTCTCTCATTTTATCCAGGATTCTTCGGACGTGCACTACTAGGATCGATCCAGAGGCGGAAGCTTGGTATGAGGATGGACAACGCGTCCGCTAGACCTGTGACCGGCCCCTACAATGAGCAAGCGTCGATGTAAGGTGTAGGCGCCGGTCACAGGTCTACGCGTCCGCCTCAAGCGTGGTTGCGAATTTGCTCGTGTCGCCGAACAACGTTCCTTTTCGAACACCACATGCTTTTCGCGTGTTCCTCTGTCTCCCATGCAGTTTGACATCGCCGTCGTGTGTATAATCCCGAAAGAATGCCCGGTGAGAGGTGTCTGTCCAGGGCGACAAAGACAGTATCGTAAGACTCTAAGAGGAGTTGCATGCCATTGCGAAAGTCTAACGTAGAAGCAGCATCGTCCGTCAGGACGGTCGGCATGAGTGACAAAACGAACGAACTGGGGGTATACAGGAATGGAACGCGTGAGGCACAAGGGGACACATAACTAGCGAGGATTTGAGCGGACGGTACAAAATGACATCTGGTTCTTACCGATCTCGGAGGGACGCCAGCCTAGTTGGAATCAACCAAGGATCAACATTAAAATGATGATGAGCGGAATACAATAAGACTTACCCTCGTATCGTAGGGACTTGGGTCCATCATCACGAGTACGATCATCCCGGATTGTGACATGAAACACGGTGAGCTGGTCTCCAAGTGTATCGTCGATGGTGTGGTTCGTCAGCTCTCCGACCTCCGACGACGAGGAGGCTGAGGAGGAGGGAGATAGTAAGATGGAAGATAGCCATGAAGGCGACACGAGGGATGGTTTCAGTAAGGGTTTCAGGCCCGTGGAAGTGGCATGCTGTTCAGTTCCCTTGGAAGTCATAATTAGTCTTTTGAAACAAAACGATAATGAAATCAACACACCTCTTTACCCATGATCATGGAGCAGACGTCGAATTGAGTCTCATCCCGAGTGTTCGCAGTGAGTACTAAGTGATGATCATTTAAAGTGGACCTGGATACCTGATCATGGATATCGCCGTGATATTGACAAGTACCCCAAAAGATTGGTAGGAGGGTGACCTCTGAGGCTTCTCCAATCCACAACGCCATGTTATTGGATGCTAAGGGGCTGTCAAATAAGATCGGCCCCGACAATAGGCAGACTAAGAAATCGAGCAGTCGACATTGACTGTATGCGTGTTACCGTGCCAATCTTTAATCTCATGAACGGAATACGGCAATCCGATGATAGAACGATCGTAGCCCTGACACAGCTTCCATGTACTCGGAAGACAACTGAAGTTAACAGGAAGGTGGCACTAAAAAGATTAACTTACCTTAACGACCTGTCGCAGCCCCCTCCCCCCGAATCCCTGTATTGCCTCTGGGTCCACTCCACCAGCCTTCGTCGAGTTCTTCGATCTGTTCGATGAGCTCTCCCTCGATGAGAGTAATTTCATTGTCCTCAGTGGCCTAGAAGAATATTTGATTATAGTGAGAGCTTAGGGAGCAAAAATGCCGTTACCGCGTACTCGTATCGCACGATAGCGCAAATACCTTGACCTGGAGCTGGAGCTGCTTTAGGCTCTGGTTCGGATACAGCAAGGGTTTGCATCTATAGGTGATCAGCAATTTCTTTCGGAAGGGGAGGAATAGCTTACTTGGGTCACTGGTGGGGGTGGCGGTGCTGCTTCCTCAAAGCTTTGAGTAGGTATAACCGGCGGTGGCGGTGGAGGAGGAGGAGGAGGAGGAGGAGGAGGCAAAATATGCATAAATCAGCTAAAAGACAACATCGGCAGAACATAAAACATGCGGGTGGAGGCGGAGCTTCCTCCTCTTCTTCTTCCAAAACTGCTGCCACAGGTGGTGGTGGTGGCGGAGGAGGCGCCTATGATAATTAATTATGTCAATAACTAAAACATCCACGAGGGGACTCTTGAGGTCCAGGTTCAGGCGATAATGACAGCAGTAGCACCGAAACCAATAGCAGTGCTTCCTACAGCGGCAGCGGTACCCGCACCAAACCTGAGGCGCGCCTGGTCCCATCAATAGCGAAGAATCGGACGAGGATTGGTCCATATCCGTGAGCCATTGATGAATTGATAGCGCTATAATTAAAGTTAGTTAGGCCAGAAGGAGGTAGTGATAGTACAACACGCACCACGCAAAACCAGACGCTTATTTCCACCCAACATTTATAGCTTCACGGATATAGGTAAGCCCGTGTTGAGGCGGTCCACAAGGTTCGAGCTCCCATACAGAGAGCGAAGCGACCCATCAGTTGGTGGTAGTACTTGACACCATGGGGATGGAACAAAACCGCCAGAGAGTGTATCTTCGTACGTATTTCAGATGGAGTCAGCCAAAAGTGAGTGCGAAACGCACCAGAGGAGAGGTTCCCGCCACCGTACCCTTCCTTAAACGCGATAGGCAGATGGCTAGCGAGATGAAAATGAGAGCACGGTAGTCGACTTGGTAACAGGCGAGCCTGAAGAGACAGATCAGCCTCATCCGTATGGCCAATGGATTGTATGAGCCTCGACAGATATACAGGTGAGTTTTTGGGCCAGCCTAAGCTCCAAGCTTGCAGTGATGGGCAGAGATAGAAAGAGTTGGCGTCACAAGAGAACGGAGTCCAAATTGAAATTGAAATCCTGTCCATTGTCTCTTCTGACTATCATCTCTAGCGTCATCGAACGCGCCTTGCCTTCTATTTCCTCTCCTGTGCATAAAACACGTTATATGTCGACGGCGACGCGATAATATATGAACAATTGCCAGCATACTCCCCCCTAAGGGAGAATGGGTCCTTGTCGGGTTAGCGCTCTTCCTGTTCGTTGATGATATGTACGCCTAGACGGATAACGGCGTCAAGACCTTTCCAATCGGCGACTGGCGACGCATAAATCCAGGTTTTTCTGGAGAAAAGGAGTGGTTGAGGTCCCTTCGCTGGTATGTCACGTCAAATCTCGGATGCACGCCACGAGAACTGATAGGCTTCGCACTGACTAGGTAATATTTACTCGCACCAGCTGCAGGACCCAGCACGCTGCGCAATTTCCTTTCGGCCGCCTAAGCTCGACGTTTCCTTCAGTATACAGATGGTGATATACGACAGATTGAGATCTACATCGATTAACTTTGCTTTATGTTGATCCTTAGATTAGACTCGCTATTTGTTGATACAAAACCGCCCTACTATGGCCATCCTTCTTATCGGGACAGCTGTTGACCTCAGCTCCCTCCCTGTTCGTTGACAATTACGCGTCGAGGTCTCTAGCGACGCATATATCGAGGTTTCCCTACCATGTTTGGGAACCCTTAGCTAGTACGGCGTATCCTTGTTCCAGACGGCAGGCTTAGCGTAAGCTGTCATAATCTCGGCGTTTCCTTCAATATGAAGAACAGCACGCGGCCCCTTCGGTACGATCACCCGGGCTCTGGCTTCGTCGTGGTACAATCGTCGTTCCTGCGTACAATTATTATCGACAGGTGGTTTGCTGCCTCCTTGTAATGCCATCATGGGTGCGTGCAACCAATTCATTCAGGAGTGAGAGGCGCGCTAAATCCACGCTCTTTCTTTTGAATAGTTCCGGCTGCCATGGCAGGAGGATATCTATGCTTCTCTTCTCGGAATGATTGGCAGACGGCAGGCCCAGGACCATCTTCGATGGGTCTACCCGTGCGACACACGAATTTCGGCCCTGATATCCGGTGCGTGATTCCCCGTTTATGGGTGTCCAAAGTCTTATCGCTGGCAGAATCATCAAGCGTTGGAACCAGGCTTTGAATTCATCTCGGGCGCGGCATTTTTCATTGGGTGTATGAATCGATGCGCGTGATTTATGGTGACCTCAGTAAGATCTGCTGCCACCAATTCATCTCCCTCCTAAGGTTGACCCTTGTGCTCCTGTTCCAGTCTTGTACATGTGCGCCGTAATGTGACGGAATAATCTCCACGGATGGCTCTCGAGGTCTGTTGGTTGGCTAGGGACTATCAGTTATCTTCGATGGACATGGATAGTCCAATAGAAAACGGCTTTTGCATCACGACGGGGTAAACGGGCCCGGGGTTTTTCTTGGCTCGCCGAATTGCCGCGGCATTATTTTGTGGCAGAGACAGGGTTTCTTTCCTTCCTGAAATAAGAGTTCCTCTTGTCTCGCTCTGCTCGCCCCTGTGTTTCTACTTTTCACCTCCAGGGTTTTTATGTTGTCTTCTGAGATAGTACCAGCGCTGCTTTATGATTCTGCTTGCAATTACAATCGAACTTGTATCCGCCTTCCTTCGGTACCGCAAGTCTGGAACTGTTTGAGGCAAATCACTACCCTCATCTTACCTCACCAGATAATCAACGAAGCCTATATAAATGACGCCACTCAATCGCCGGAGCCCGACACGGAGATAAATTGTAGCCGCATATAAAGGCAGCGACAAGTGAGTCAGCTCAGTTGGCTTACAAAAACCAAGCCTTCGCAGAATCTAAACCCCTTCAATCTACGCTCACTTGAGAAGTGCGCATCTGCTCCCATCGTCCATGTCTACTTTGGTGACATTTGAGCCTTACGGAACCGTCCCGCTCTCGGTATTTGCGCTCATCATCCTAGTTGCCAGTATCGGAATGTACTGGGTGGCGCGCCGGAATCGACCCAGGGGGATCGATTGGGATGTTGAAATGGTTGAAACAGGCGAAGGAAGGAGGAGAAAGGACTCTATTGTGATGATGGTCCCTGTCCTAATAACAGATGGAAATTGACTCGGAAGGTGCGTGTAGCTAGTGCTTCTTGGAGGAATCCGTGCTGATTGACGGAGGGAACGGGGTAGGGATAACCTCTTTCGGAGGAAACAGTCGTGCTATCCGCCTTTTATGCACATCTCCGAAGATGTCAGCGGGTGGCTATACCCAATAGTTCAAGACGCCCATTTGTTCAATGTTTCATTCCTGGTCGGACCCATTGGTATTGTTCATGCACGTTGTGTTGTATTATATTGTATTCTAGCCATGACTGAGAGGAGGATGTCGTAGTAGCATATTGTCTTCAAAGTATAGGGAATTTTCTTATCCCAGACCAATGAAGGGAAGAACGAGGTGGCCAGTCTATAAGTGCCCACTCCGATGTCGGTGACTCCGCGCACACACGTGTCCGAATGTGGAAACGGATATCCGGGGATAAGCGAACAAATAAAATCCCAGACACGACCCACCGTTCATATAGGACCACTTTCTTATCGCGCCCATCTCTCACGTCCACCCACACTCATTAGACATGTCAACCGACAAGGCAGCCCGTCGCGCGCGTTTTGAAGGAGCCTGGAAGGTCATCAAGCAGGAATTACTCGACTACATCACCGGCGAGGGTATGCCCAAGGATGCGATTGAGTGGTACGAGAGGGTGAGAGAGGAAAAGAAAAAAAAAAAAAACGGAAACGAGCTCATTCTGATGACAGAATCTCGACTACAACGTTCCTGGAGGCAAGCTGAACCGGGGCATGTCCGTCGTCGACACCGCCGAGATCATCAAGGGCACTCCGCTGACGGACGACGAGTACCTAAAGGCTGCGGTGCTCGGATGGGGTATCGAGCTCGTGCGTCCCCCCCACCTTTTCTTTCCCTGTCCCCTTTCTCACACGTCCGTCCCACTCTCCAGCTCCAAGCCTTCTTCCTCGTCTCGGACGACATGATGGACTCGTCGATCACGCGCCGCGGCCAGCCCTGCTGGTATCGCGTCCCCAAAGTGGGCCACATCGCCATCAACGACTCGTTCATGCTCGAAGCCGCCATATATTACCTCCTCAAGAAGCATTTCCGCGGGGAGAGCTACTATGTCGACCTCCTGGAGCTTTTCCTGGAGACGACGTTCCAGACGGAGATGGGCCAGCTTATTGATTTGATCACTGCCCCGGAGGACGAAGTTGATTTGAGCAAATTTTCCTTGAAAAAGTGCGTGTTTTCGTTCCGCTGATGTCGCGTTTGTTTGTTCGTTTTTTTTTTAACCGTTGTGTATGAAAGGCACTCACTTATCGTGATCTACAAAACCGCATACTACTCGTTCTACCTCCCTGTCGCGCTCGCCATGTACATGTCCCATGTCCCGCAATCATACCCCTCCTCCTCCTCCGGAACCATCATCGAGCCCTACGCGCTCGCCAAGTCCATCCTCATCCCCCTCGGCGAGTACTTCCAGATCCAAGACGACTTTCTCGACTTTTCGGGGACGCCCGAGCAGATCGGGAAAATCGGCACGGATATCCTCGATAACAAGTGTTCGTGGTGCGTGAACACCGCGCTGGCGGTGTGTACGCCCGAGCAGCGGCAGGTCCTCGATGAGAATTACGGGAGGAAGGATTCCGAGTGCGAGAGGAGGGTGAAGGCTGTGTTTGAGAGTCCCGAGGTGGATTTGAGGAGGAGGTATGGGGTGTATGAGGAGAAGGTGTATGGGGAGCTTGTTGCGATGATTGGGGAGATTCCGGAGGTGGAGGGGAAGAGTACGTTGAAGAGGGAGGTCTTTAAGAGTTTCCTGGATAAGATTTATAAGAGGAGCAAGTAGGGGATCTGGTGGGGGTGTAAGATTAGCTGCATCTTTAGATGTTATGGAGGCATTTGGGAGTTAATGCCCAGTCAAAAGTCCGTAGGTCCGAGTCGACGTCTGTAAGTATGTAGAGATTAATTGAGTAATGTACTTGGGTGAGTTAACCCTCAAACTTGCGATTGGCCATAAACTTTGATTCAGGTTTCTGCCAAAAACCATTCACAACCTACACTTGGTAAATTTATCTAGTCGTCTCAATGGGCAGAATACTCCCAGGTGGCACGGCTCTGATCTGAATAGTACGGCAAAGTCCGATGCCTCTGCCATGACTGCTGCCGACCGATACATTGCTGACTCTGCCCACTGCTACTTTCCTGCCTTTTCTTCTTTCTGTCGTCACTCATCTGGTTGATTCCCGGTAATGTTACCAGGACTTTGTATTCATCATGACACTGTCATTTCTCATTGTTGCACTTTTGGCTGCATATGTAACAAGCATGCTGCAGACCTCTGATTCCAACCCAACTTCAATTGTCCAACTCCACATTTGATTGGACTCTATCAAACTCAATTTCCTAGTTTCTAGTTCATATTCCATTTCATATTGTTAGAGGATATCTGTATGTATACCCTCATCTTTGCCTTTTGGTCATTACTTGTTCCTCTTTGATTGTCACTCATTCTTACTTATCATATATACACACCCCCTGTCATTACTTGATCATCTACATAGCCTGGCAATAGATACCCATATACCTCAGTCATTTCACCTATGCTGTGCCTAACTGAGATATAAATACTATTACCATATTCCCTACTATATTATTCACTGTTAGTGACTAACTACAACAAATAAGACCAAATATAAGAGTGTGCCTCACATTCAGGCAATCACTGCATATGTGACTCAGAGATGTGTAAGCTTATGTGTTAATATGCATTGTATCAGGCTAGCCCTAAAATTTGCAAATTTTAAACAATATATTCACATAAGCTGAAGTCTGTATGGCTAGCCATTCAAGGGCTATAGCTGAGGGCTAAGGATCAAGTCTAGCTCAGGAGTTTATTACCATAACTAGCAGTGAAGTACAAGATTCAGCTAGCATTCAAACCAGGAGTAAAAGCAAAGTGGAACTCATTAGCCCATAGTTAGCACATCAGGTCTGATGTGAAATACATGAGGTGAGGATTCCTCAGGCATGAATAATTAAAGAAGCATATAGTTCAGAGGATGAGCCACAACTGGGGAGCTCAGCTGCCTCAGATCACCATGATTGGAACTAAAGCCACCTCAACTATCAATCAATCATAATCAATAGTGAGTCTGGAAGTAACAAGCAGAACCACAGGATAATCAATTATATAGTAAATATTTATGGACTATAGAAACAGAGAGCCAGAGGCATTCTGGATTCTCTGAATAGAATACATAAGGGATGCTAAGGCAGGATAATGATCTAATTTTAGGGCTAGCTAAGTGAAATGAGTAACCAGATCAAATTATTTATAGATTCTGTATTGGTTAGTTATATATAAAAGCAAAATGAGGGGGAATCATGTAGCAGATGACCTATTCCTGCAATTTAAGCACTCTAGCTCTCAGTGGTTAGTCTCTGTATCAGTGGTTTTGTGTGTAACCTCAACTTGGATAGCTATTGTTACTAGGTCACCCTATATTGAATAAGAATTGAAGTCTTTACTGGACTTTGAGGTTCAGCAGAATTTAAGTTCTGGCTTAATAAGAGTTTTGGCATCTGAGTATCAGTTTTTTGGTTTCAAGGACTGCTAGCTAGCCACAGGTGCAGCTAGCCAAGCCTAAGTGCTTGAGAGACTTGGTATTGGGTTTTGGCATTCATTAGATTTCAGAGTATTCTAAGTTAAGCTGGGCACTGTAGCTTCACATTTTAAGTCTCAATTCATATACCATGTTTTATTCCTACTACTCTTGCAAGTGTTGTATCTTAGGACACAAACTAGCCTGGAATAAACTGCCTTTATAACTTCATATTTGATTTATCTGAGTCTGCAGAATGCTTCTATCATACTCAAACCACTCAAACTCATTCATATTGGTGATCATGTATGAGTGGTTAGATGTTGATGTTTGAGAGTTCATTTCTCATTCATCTCTCTCAGTCACTTAGCCATTACCAAGCACATCAGCATATGCAATCAGTCAGGCAATGCTTAGAGTTCAAATTGAGCAGATTGAGAAGTATAAACTGTAGTCTGAAGCTGAGGCTGTTGAAATATAATTCTGAGTATTCTATAAATATATTATCATGTGCTAGTTACACAATAAGGATTTATTATTTGTGCATAAAAGCATTAAAGCAGAATGAAAGTTGTTAAGGTATAGGTATATGACAATAGAGACATGAAAAAGTCATGAAAAAGAGTTTGAGATAATTTACTGGAGTCACAAGCATGACAATACTCTTTAATCAAGACAGTTGTTCTGACTGTTGTAAGGCTTTGATTCTGACCTCTTAGTTATTAGTCTAGGCAAGAGGCTGCTTTTAGTTGTAGAATTGGTCACTGACAAGTGAGTTAGTGTCCTTTTATTGATAGAGCTTTGTTTTCTCCTTTGAAGTGTGTTATAATTTTTTCTTATTTTTATTTTTTATTTGAGAGATTGACCTCTATCTTTGCTTAGTCAGGGCACTTAGACCAGCACTTAGGACTATAGAATAGGCTTAGTCAGTACAACAATGCCTAGTCAGTCATTGTCCTTCAATATGATGGTAACTGCTTGATGACAGACAATACTCTTTGTAGGTAGCTTAATGACACTGGACAAAATGCTTTATAATGTTAGGACATATAATTAGATAGTTATATCTTTAGATGGATGATGACTGATATATAAGTAGTATAGCTCTTGCTGTAGTATCTCCAGCTTTGAGCTAAAGTTTATTCTTCACTATTTTATCTTGAGCCAACTGCAAAGGCCTTGCAACATATAGACAAACAGACACATATAATAGACTCTGATGTGACTGCCTGAATATAAAGCAGCATCAGTTTATCACATGTTTTAGTCACATATTATTTAAGCTTAATAATTAGCTCAAAGCTTTTAGCTTCTCTTTCTCAAGCCTAATTGTGCTGAGAAACCAAATGCCCCCTGCAATCAACCTATCAGACTCTAACTTCACTCATGAGTTCTTTGAACTCCTTGCTTCTATTATCAGAACACTTTTAGGATTATTAGTGATTATACAGCTGTACTATGAATGCTAATCAATCACTGCCTGGGCTATCAGACACCATTAAGAATTTCAGCATATTTGATGTATTTTATATAATATCACTCCTGACCTTCTCTTCTATAACATCTCTTTCTCTGCCAGATAGTCCTTTCAGCCTATAGAAGGAATCATACCTGAAGCTGACTCTAGAGATATACATTCACAGTATTTTTGGGAAGAAGAAGAATATTGATATTCACTCCAACTCTTAATAGCTGTCATCTGAAACAATGACAACCCTTGGGCTACAGGGTTTCAAAGACCAAGATCCAACACACTAATCCTGCAAGTCAAGTGCATGAATATTGCCAGCTGTGTTTCTACAATAAGGACCACTTCCTTAACTGCACCCTCTGAGCCTGACATTAGATGCCATATCAGAGACTCTCTTGATGCCACTGAGGTGGCTTAAAGGAGTAGAAGTTTCTCTCCAAACAATGGCCATAACTCACTATATGTAATACTGACAGGAAGCAGGTTATTATGATTTTCTCTTTTTCTTTTCTGATTTTCCTTCTTTCTGCTTAGTCAGAGCATCAACAACCAGCACTTAGGACTATGAGACAAGGCTTAGTCATCAGCCAAGTCTGCCATTGTTCTTTGATGTAGCAACAAACACCTGATGACACACAACAACCTTTTATGAATGGTAGTGATGCTCAAGGACAATGAATACAACAGACAGAGCAACCCACAATAGTATAGAGTATTATTAGCCAGAACCTGTATAGTATTTAAGATGCTAGCTCTTGCTGGTATATCTCCAGCTTCAAGCTAAAGTTTATACATCCTCATTCTACTCTTGTACTAATCACACAATGCCTTGAAGCATAGAGAATCAGCTTATAGCATATAAAGTGGACTCAGGCAGAAGGCTCAAACATGAAGCCATATCAGTTTACCATGTGTTCACTGATCACATGCAGCTTGAGCCTAATGCAGGGAGGATTTTCCTGCTGAGCTCTACATTGAAAATCAGAGCACAGATAGTAAGAGGAATAGAATGAGAGTCATCAGAACTGATAACTCATATTTCAATGATGACAGCAGCTATGGGCAGAGGTTTTGGTGACATGCCATCTGAGAGGCTGAGTGAGTGAAGCAGCATCAGAGATGCCATGAGGCTTGCTGAGCAAGAAGCATATCAGGCCCATCAAGTCTGGTACAACTAACTGATACTATTGATCTGGTTCTCCCTTCCAAAGATGAGACACAGTGCTCTAACACCCTCATAGAGTATCTCAAGGAGCAGGCACATATCAACTATGAGGCAGTTTGAGAGGATATACTCTTCTGATGCTATCTTCAAACATGAGATGCAGCAGACTAGAGAAGAGGCTCTAAGAGTTCTGGAATCAACACTTCATTACCACCACCACCAACAGTATTTCTGACACTCTATTCTGGAAACCTAATACTCCTGCTATCTCTGAGCCAAATCTATAGGCAGTACCTGCTGAGGGCATCATCCATGTGGATAATATCTACCAAAGGGTATCATTTGACCTCAATAATGACTGCCCACTATCTTATAGAACCAATTCAATTGCTGACACCAATAATATTTCAGGCTGAGATAGAGATTTACCAAGCCACAGAGGGGACCTCAGAGGTGGTGAAGAGAGCATCAACCCTACTGGAGATCTCAAGTGGGTCTTAGATAGATGCATCATATTTCTCTTTCTCAGATTCCACTTTTATTGAAACTTCTGCTAATATTGCAGAGCAGTGATGGTGGAAGCAGCAAGAAACAAGGCCCTCAAAGAGCAATGATGAAGATGACAGCCTTCTTCTTGCTCTAGATCTGATGATGCTG